GTCCAGCTATCGGCCATTACTCGTTACTCAATCCCGAAGGCCTAATTCAAGCTAGCGACAATTCATTTCATTTAACCGATATTCATTTAAATGAAAAAATTTTCTGTCTTTCGTAGTTTAAACCTGATTTAAGAATGGTTTAAGTTAATAGAGCTTCTAAAGGCAGACGATCGGATGGGCAAGAGGTATAGATAGACTTTGGTTACAAGAATTATTCCATTAGATCGGACTTACCATGTAAAAGATATTCTCCTCATCTATTGTATCTCCTAACCAGCAGCTGTTGCGATGGAGGGATCCCTTAGTCTGTGGGCCCTTTCAATTTAAATTCTTCATCAGTTCAAGTAAGTGTGGGAGTGTGGCTAAATATATATAGTATATATGTACATACTAAGATCCTACGATGGTCAAACTATCAGGGAACCAGAGCACTATTTAGCCACACTCCCACACTTATTTGTGTGTGTGATTTTGTGAATATTTAGGTCTACTCTGAGAAAAGAAAGTCCACTAACATTAAGCCCCAATGCAGGAGCGCACTTACACACGCACGCGATTACATACAGGAATAAATAATGTAGGGGCTGGGGTTATTTTTCCGTTTTATTTTTTTTTCTTTTCGTTTTTTTTCGTCATTGAGGATGATCTCGGTTTTTTATGTATACATTTTTTTAATTTTGATGGTGTGTAGGGTGGCGACGCGACGCGACGGTGGTGCCGGTGGTGTTCCCTGTGTCAGAAGGTGGCAAAATTTTCTTTTTTTCCCTGTCGAATCTTCGAATCCTCGTGGCCCGTTTGAGTTTGAAACTCGCATTCTGCTTGCTTTTTGGCCCACCACCAACTTCATTATAATTTTTGTCGGGGTTGTTTTTTCATTCAATTTTTTTTTTTTTTTTTTGCTACTGCTGCTTCTGCTGTATGTGTTGCCTGCTGTATGTGTTGCCTCGGCATGTGCGTCTTTTAAATACTCTACGACAGCGCAGTGACTCGTGTAGTTGTTCTGTTTGCAGCTCATATGATTGTCCTCTATGCCCTACTTTCTCTTTCTCTCTCTGTGCGTGAGTGCCCATAAAACGACACCCCCAAGGTTTTTTTTCGTTTTTTTTTTGTTAGTCCGTGAAAAATTGGATAAAAAAAGTGCCTGGCAGTTTTAGCATCTGAAATTCTAACATTGAATTATGGAATATCGATTTTTTGGCTTTTTGCAAACAGCGAAAATGCTTTATATATGTATATGTATAGATATACACACAGCGGAACATTTATCTCCCCGTTTTCGGGACGTGCATACATAAAAATGTGGGTGGGGAATGCCTTAGTTCAGACTCAGCATAATAAATATATGATAATATTGAAAGGTGTAGCGAATCGAAACTGAACAATGTTGTAGAGACTAATTAAAACTCTATACCCAAACAGATAGATCAGCTCAAAAAACATATAAAATTGGTTAAGCTTGAGTCTGACCTTTAAGACTACGCTCCACTTCGGGGCTTTCTAACAGCCCACACTCGAACTGGAGTTGTATAGTGTGGTATATCCGGCTGTTTTTTTACTGGGCATATTTAAAGTAATAGAGACTTGTGCTTTGGAATGTACATACATTTGAATATTATGAATGATTAAGTTCTGAAAATTTGTACGTCTAGAAATTTAATTATTTAACAAATATATTCGTACATTTACCACACTGCAGCGCAGCCCAAGCGCAATCGCTGCGTACTGCGCAGTTAGCAGAGCGCGCTATATATTTAATAGATCTCGATATAACGAACTATGTAGTTAAAATTGGCTCGGCCATTGATGATGTACAGCCAAAACGCATCAATTACAGTTATCAATATTGTGGCGTATATATCATTTGATTGATGAAAGAAAACTTAAATATATATAAGTCCAAACCAACTACTTTCTCTATAAAATTTATATATGTATGTATTTCGCAGCTGTGAAGTAACGTAGAAGTTTGCATAACTGAAAAATATTAAAAATATGATTGACAAGTCTCATTATCTTTCACACATTCAATAATAAATAAGAACAAATTCAATAGTATGGAAACGTAAAAGTAAAGTAATATTCAATCATGAAATAGTCGGTTGGCGGATTATGGGAAATGCGAGAAGGGAGAAGCATATACATATGTATATATATATATATATATATATATATATATATA